TGGCCAAAGTAGTAAGAATGCACAAGGCACGAGTCATGTTCATTGAAGCAAAGGGTCATTCATCAAGTTTAAAACTTAGCTTTAGGTTTATTTCACGCCAAGATTATAGAACTGTCATTGATGGATTAAGCAGGTTTAAAAATAATTCTGGTGGAAACATGTCACCATGACTATAAGACAATCAACTTTTTTAGGAGTATGGACCACTATGTAGCAATAATTGTATTTTACCAGTTTACTTCATTTATTTCCTGTGTCTTCACTGGAGAAAAAAAGAGGGCAGAGACTTTTGTTTTTTAAATTTGTTTTGTTCCCACTTGGATTTCTAATATCCAGAACAGTGGCTAGTACACAGTTGGTGCTCAATAAAGATTTCTTATATATAAAAAAAAAAAAATTAAACATTATTAGTAAACTATCAAGTTAGGCTGTGGGCATGGTTCAAGTGGTACAGAGATGGTCTAGCAAGCATAAAATATAGCCAGGTACTGGTGGCTCTCGTCTGTAATCCTGCTACTCAGGAAGCTGCAATCCAGTGATCACAGTTCAAAGCCACCTGAGGCAGGAAAGTCTATGAGACTTATCTCCAATAAACTACTCAGAAAAAGTCAGGAGTAAGGGTAAACAAAGGAGGAGGCTGCAATACTTGATAAGTAATGTACTCATTATCTTGCCCATGTAACTATAACCCCTATGTACAGTATGTTCACACAAAAAATAAATTAATTAAAAAAAAAGAAAAAGTCAGGAGTGGAACAGTGGCTCAAGTAATAGAGTGCTAGCCTTAAGTACAAAAGCTCAGGAACACCTCCTAGGCCCTGGCCCTGAGTTTAAGCCCCAGGACTGGCACAACAAAAGCATAAAACTTAACTACACAAAAGACAGAAATCCACCAAATTGAAAAGTTAGTATTACACCATGTTACTCTCAAACCAGAAGGAGAATGAAAAAGAATAGAAAGACTAAAGATAGGAAGTTAGTTTCAGAATTTAAAGAGACTACATGGTAAAATATATACATGAGACTTCCAAGATGAACAACAATCTTTCAAATTAAAGGTATGATGATTAAATATATGCTTTGTAAGTACTTACTTTACAGAGGGAATTAGTATGCATTTACTAAAAAGAAAGTTTTATCAATGTAGCACTCTTCCCTACCGTCCTTTCTGACTTGGTTTAAATTTCTTAAAATCTTTATTTTTTGTCAGTTATGAGGCTTGAACTCTGGGCTTGGGCACTGTCCCTCAGCTCTTCAGCTCAAGGCGAGCACTATACTACTTGAGCCACAGCATCACTTCCTTAAAATCTTTTTTTAATATAATTTTTTTTTTTGCCAATCCTGGGGATTGAACTCAGTGCCTGGGCACTGTCCCTTAACTTCTTTTTGCTCAAGGCTAGCATTCTACCACTTGAGCCACAACACTATTTACAGCTTTTTCTGTCTATGTGGTACTGAGGACTCGAACCCAGGGTTTCATGTATGCTAGGCAAGCACTCAGCCACTAAGCCACATTCCCGGCCCCTTAAAATATCTTCTGATGTTCGTTAATTACAATAAAAAAAAAAACCCACACATGCAAAGAAAAAAATCCTACCTACTACTATTAACATGTTAATGTGGTGTATGCTGAGCCCACTAAGTGAGCAATAAGACATATGTGAGAAGCAGTGAAACAACAGTAGATTCAAAAGCTGGAGGAAAAGACATGCAGATTTTAAAGTAAGGAAATAGTAGGAAGGGGTAGCCTTAGCATCAAGACTTTGATGCTTGAGAGAAGAAATGTAATTAAGTACACTTTTGTTGTCATAGCATCTAAGGGCCCCTCAAAAAATCTTACGAATCTACAATGATGATATAAATTGAAATCAGTAAGTATACGTTTATTAAATCACCAAATGAGATGCACTGGGAAGCATAACAGAGCAAGGAACTAAAAAGATTTCAAAAGAAAGAAATCCACCGAATTGAAAAAAAAAATAGTATTCTACCATTCTACTCTCAAATCAGAAGGAGAATGAGCTAGATTAAATCATTATCTTGAAATTGAACAGGAAGAAACAAAAATATGAATTACATTAACAAACTCTTGTACCAAGATACACATCAGAGCAAACTTGACCTGACAAGGATTCATGGGCAAGAAGGCAAGATATTTTAGCATATGCTTCTGGGGCCAATAGTATGAAGGGGTAAATTAGACTAAATTAATGAACCCACAGGCTGGAGTAGCACAAGCAGTGCTTATGTTAAGAGGAGGACAAATCACATGACTGAGTACAAATTAACCTATTTAGAAAATATCATATTCTGTTTCAGAAGACATGGATGTATTGAATGCATTTAACAAAGAAACTCAGAACTACCAAGCATCTAGAAAGCATGTGAACAAGATTAGTGCACTAGGGCAGTTTGTCATAGAAGAGGAAGCCCCAGACAAACAAATGGTTTCCTCTTAATGTTTGAATACTGAATCCATTGCTCGTGTGTTATTAAGAAACACTTTGCAGAGCTAGAGGTGTAGCTCAAGTGGTACAGTACTTGCTTATCCTGTGCAAAGCCCTGAGCTTCATATCCAGGACCACACACACATATATACAAATATTAGCTGAGTTCAATAAATGGGAATTAAGAAAACATATTAGCAAGCATGGTGATGCATGCCTACAATCCCAGCCCTTGAGAAGCTGAAGCAAGAAGATCATGAGTTCAAGGCCAGCCTAGTCTCCATGTCAAGTTCAAGGCTAGCCTGTGCAATATATTAAGACACTGTCTTCAACAACAACAACAAACAAGCAGTACCAGAAGTTTGGAGTCTGTCTTCAAACAGAAGATGGACGGCTATCAGTAAAGGAGAGAAGATAAAGTTTTCATATTAGGTAAAAAGTGAAGATCAAGCTGAGTGCTGGTGGCTCACGCCTGTAATCCTAGCTACTGCAGGAGGCTGAGATCTTAGGATCACAGTTCAAAGCCAGCCCAGGCAGGAAAGTCCGTGAGACTCTTATCTCAATAAACCACCAGAAAACCAGAAGTGGCGCTGTGGCTCAAGTGGTAGAGCACTAGCCTTGAGCTGAAGAGCTGAAGGATAGCACCCAGGCCCAGAGTTCAAGCCCCACAGCTGACCAAAAACAAAAAGAGAAGATCAGGTGACCTCTGTTCCTCTTCCTGGGGCTTTTTCCAGGTCTAAAGCAGTGTCTTCCATGAGGAAAAAAAGAGAGCTTCTTACTACTATTACTACTACTACTGTACTGCTACAGCAGTAGACAGAGTTGCTATATTCCTGAGAGACTTGCCCAGCCTTTTTTGTGCTACTGTAACTACCACAACGACTACTATTACTGGTAACATGAAGTGCCTATTCGATGGGCCTAGTGCTATAGTGGTGAGTTAAACAGGATCTGTAGAGGGGAAAAAGAGTACATAAGGTATATAAGATGTTGGTTTCTGAGAAATGTTAAGATAGCTTTAGTGCATAAATCAAGTATTTCACAATTTTTTTTTCCAAATAAATAGGACCTGGAGGTGAGTAGTGTTCAGGGAGTGGGAGTAGAAAAACAGAAAGAAAAAAAAAACCCTAAAATTAATATTCTTTATTCTCTAGGACAAACAACTAAAACTAGAAATCTAAATTTTGTCATAATTATCTGGCACACTAGGAAATTTGCCTCACTCAGTAAGTTTCAGATCAATTGTATACTTGCTCATCAAAAGTAGTCATTTCAAAATTGATTGTATAGAAATACTCATGAGAAATATATCTGGTAGAAGAGCTGGGAATGTGGCTTAGTGGTAGAGTGCTTGCTAGCATGCATGAAGCCCTGGGTTTGATTCCTCAGTTCCATATAAACAGAAAAAGTTTGAAGTGGTGCTATGGCTCAAGTGGTAGAGTGCTAGCCTTGAGCAAAAGAAGCTCAGGGACAGTACCCAGGCCCTGAGTTCAAAGCCCCAGGACTGGAAAAAAGGAAAGAAATAGAAAAGAAAAAGAAATATATCTGGTAGAAACAAGGCTTTTCTTTTTTCTCCTCCAAAAATAAAAAGAAATGTATCTGGTAGGATGAGCAAATTAAGCCATTATATTCATTTACATTATGTAAATTTGAATGGTAATTTGAAGGTAGGAGGAATAGGAGGGGGGAAATGGGAGAGAATATTGGAAGAGGTGACATTGATCAAGATGCATTGTACCTATAACCTGACTTATGGAACTGAAACTTCTTTGTACAACTACATTAGTAGTAGTAGTAGTAGTAATAATAATAATAGTAAAATGTATCTAAAGAGTCTAATTTGCATTTCTTAAATGGGGAGCAAGAAATATATCTTTTTTTCTTTCTCTACTTTATCCTGTTATATTAAATAAGTCTCTCCTAAAACTTATTTAAAAAAAGAAATTTATCTGATTTTACTAGAATACTGCTTATTTGGACTTTTTATATGAACATTTCAAATGTCATACCCACTTACCATATCTGATAGACTTAGGCTGACATACTCCCACCACAGTTTTACAAACAAGTTTGAAACAATGACTCCAGTGATTAATGAGGCCATTGCTTTCATTCCCACATTAAAATGTTACATAAAATTGATTTTATTGGGGAGATGACTGAAGAAAAGTTGCTTAGCCTTACTGTGCCCTTTTTGTTCTCTTTGTAACACTGGGGCATTTTGGTTGAAGAAATATAAGAGAAAAAGCCAATCCATTCATTAAACTTTAGGGATGGAAAACTTTAGATTGTAGAGTTAGTTAATATTCCTAAGGCGACACATTCATTGGCATAGTAGCTGAGAAGACATTACAATCAAGGTCTCCTGGGAATCCTGACCCCCTTAGCTCAGTTCTAGGTATTTTCCATTCTTATCAGTGACGAAGAAAAATGGATTTTTTTTTTTGTTTTACATAGTAAGATTTATCAGAAAAGATTGTTAGAAAACACTGTAATTTTCATTAACTTTGAATGTTTGAACGATATGACAATCATTCATCCAAAAGAACTTACTTCCAATGCATAATAAACTGGTTTGTCCCTGCCAAGTTTGTAAGCCACAGTGGTCAGAAGGCCGTGCTCAGAAAATACACACTGTAGGAAACAAAAATGATTTCAGTGTGGAGAAAATTAAAAGAGAGCTTTTTACTATTTAAAACTTAACATGCACAAAACAATTCAATCAATTAAACACTAATAATCTTTTAAAATAAATCTCAGTCAAAATTGTTAGTATTACAAACTTGAGCTATGCAAAAAAGTACTCCTTGTTCTAACTTACATTTTCATTAAGAATCTAAAAAGACCATAGTCTAGAGTCTCCACCAATGCTAAAAGTGCACATAAAATTCGGACATAAAATGGGTCTTTTTGTAATCAATGGAACTTCAGAATTTTCACCACTTTTATTGAGCTCCAAATTAAGTGATAGTAAAGATTAAAATCTTAAGACTGAAAAATCACTTAATGGAAAATTATTTACAAGCATTATATGATGTTAAAGACTTTCAATCTTCTAATTTAGATGAAAAAAAAAACCAACCTTATGGCCTGTGTTACATAACAAGAAACATCCTGTTCCATACCTATAGATAGAAGAAAAAAATGATAAGTATAATAATGTTATTGCAACAACTAGTATATATCTGAGACAAGCAGAAAAGGTCAGATAAGGTGACATTAAGCAAAATGAACTCCAAGATAAGGACACAAGTGGTTTTTTCTTTCTTGCTATTGTTTCTCGTGTATTTATAAGGTACCACATGATTTTTTGTTGCTTTGTATCTCCCTCCCCCACAGTATAACCCATTTTCACTGTATTTGATGTTGGTATAATTTGGGGAGCGGAAGGGAAAAAACAAATTGTTTAAATAGGGATACAGGTGGACCCATTGCAACAATGAGATAAACAAGATGCTATGTCGAAAAACGAACTTTACAGTTTGGGGGGGAGGGGAGGAGGAGGGCGGTGAATGTAGTTGTGGAGATGGTAGGAAAGGGATTGTAGGGGGAAACAAAGGAGGGGGCTACAATGCTTGATAAGAAATGTACTCATTACCTTGCTCGTGTAATTGTAACCCCTCTGTACAGTATTTTCACAATAAAAAACTTACTTAAAATAAAAAGCAAATGATGAAGCCTTAATACTACATATGATCTAAAAGTGAAATGTAGTACAATAAGTCATATTGAAAGCTAACAAATATCATATACTCTGTATGTAAAAACATTTCAAAGATTAGTCTAGAAGAAAATGTAGTGAGGACAATCATGCAAAGCCAAAGCTCAACCACTGAGCTACATATCCTTATCTCTAGTTCTAGAACAATCTTTTTTGGCAGTAGTAGAATTTGAACCAGGGCCTTGCATTTGCTTGGCTGGCACTTGACTACTTGGGTCATGCCTCTATCCTGGATTTTTGCTGGCTGTTTTAGAGATAAAATCTTGTAGCCTTTACTGACAAGCATGGCTTCAAACTGTAATTTTCTGATTTCAAAATCCTGTATAGTTTGGATTACAGATGTCCAGCTAGAGTAATCTTAATGGAGAAAATGCATCTATAGCATTAAACATTTAGTTAGTGATAGCCCAGGGCTGTTTATAAGATACCACTGAATTGTAACAATTATGTCACAGTTATAGCACTACCATGAAATAAAAGCATCATGACTGGCAGCCATTCACCAGTATGATTGTATGACAGCTTAGCTCCATCATGAATATGGTCATAGACTGAAAAATTCCAGTTTTCTGGCAGGGTGCACAGAGTATGAGAGTATAGCTGGAAAGGTGGAGAAAAGTAGCATAGAAAGAAAAGCTATTAAGCCAGGTATGAGTGGCTCATGTGTGTAATCCTAGCCCAGGAGGCCGAGACCTGGAAGATTACAGGTTGAAGCCATCCTAAGCAGAAAAGTCCTCCAGATTCCATCTCCAATTAACCAGTAAAAGGCTGGACTGGAGATGTGGCTGAAATTATAGAGTGCCAGCTGTGAGCAAGAGAGCCCAGTGAGAGTGCAAGGCCGTTAATTCAAGCCCTAGCATCAACACAAAAGACAACAGAAAAGCTATTTAGGCCTAGCTTCCTTATGCTCTCTGTTGGATAAGGTGTTATAACAGTAGTGGCCTCTCAGAGCCAGAATGTAATATGTCTGGTATAGAAGAACTGGATTTACTTGGTGGCAGCCTTATCAGTATAAGCTTTGGACTCTGCAACAAGCCTGGCATTTGGACATTAATGGATAGTTTTGACATATGGCATGGAGATAAGTGGCCTCAAATGATAGCAATAAGGATCACAGAGAAACATTTTGAAATTGAGTGGGAATAACAAGGTGGCTATGGTTATGGCTGACTCTGCCTGGGTTTGAGCTTTCCTCTCCACACGCCTTGCTGGTCTCACTATGCTTGGTGACATTCCAGCAGGAGGGAGATGGGACCGTGCTCAATTGAAGAGATGGCAAGAAGGATCCCGGAAAGAAGTCACTATCAGTATATGGATCTTATCAGCTGCATTTTCCTTGCACAATGAATATGAAGCAGATGTGATTTTTGAATAAACATTTTCATTAGGCACTATTATTATAAATAAGGATTAGATGAAGCTATTCCATCTCTTTCCACCAAAATAGATTATTGGCTTGTTGGATGAACACATGCCACATTTAGGGAGCATGTGACTAATAAATATCTAAGTTTGTAAAGACACTTGTCAGGGGGTAAAGGGAAATAAGTGAGAGTGACCAAAGGCGGGGGTGTTGATCAGGCAGAGTACACTGTATGCATATACGGACATGTTAAAATCAAACGTCTTTGTGTAACTAATTGCTAATAAAAATGTGGGGAGAAACCCAACGTACTCTTAACCTAAAATACACTTTTTTTCTTTTTTTCTTTTTTTTTGGGGGGGGGGGTCCAGTCATGGGCCTGATCTCTGGGCCTGGGCGCTGTCCCTCAGCTCTTCAGCTCAAGGCTAGCACTCTACCACTTGAGCCACAGCGCCACTTCTGGCTTTTTTTTCTGCTTATGTGGTGCTGAGGAATTGAACCCAGGGCCTCAGGCATGCAAGGCAAGCACTCTACCACTGAGCCACCTTCCCAGCCCTACTTTTTTTCTTTGTGTCACTACTGGGGCTTGAACTTGGTGCCTGTGCTCTGTCCTGGGGCTCTTTTTGCTCAAGGTTGAGTCATAGTTCTATGTTGGGCTTTATGTGATTCATTGGAGGTAAGAGTCTCATAGACTTTTCCTGCCTGGGTTATTTTTGAACCCAGATCCTCAGATATCAGCCTCCTGAATAGCTACAATTACAGGTGTAAGCTAATGGCATACTGCATAAAAAGACACTTGTCAAATGATACTAGGTACAGGTAGTAAACTATTACCACCAAGTTGTATATTTGAAGTTCATCTTTGTAAATAGATATGAAAACTAAAGTTTATTATTTCATGCCTTTTACAGAAGAAATCTAATCTGTACCAATTTAGTAACTACACTTAAACGCTATATTCAAGATGGAAAACACAAAATGGATGAGAAGGCTCAAGGAACTAAAGAAAAGTGAATGCATAAGGTAGTACATAATGAATTTATCAACATACAAACAGACTTGTTCTCTATGTTTAGAGCCTAGCTATTGGAGCAGGATGTAGGCAATCATACTCATATTGCATTATTCTGTCTTCCTAGCCATATGTATCTTTCACTATTTATGTGGTCTACCATAATCTTTCTCAGCCATTTACTGTGTTCAAACATGCCAGCCATATATCTGGCTTTGGTAAATTTTGAAGAAGTAAAAGTTAGGGCCAGGCCGGGTGCCTGTAGCTCACCCCTGTAATCCTAATAACTCAGGAGGCTGAGATCTGAGCATCGCAGTTTAAAGCCAGCCCAGGAAAGGCCATGAGACTCTAACCTCCAACTAACCATTAGAAAACTGGAAGTGGCACTGTGGCTCAAGTGGTAGAGTGCTAGCCTTGAGCTGAAGAGCTCAGGCACAGCACCCAGGCCCAGAGTTCAAGCCCCACAACCAACTAAAAAAAAAAAAAGTTAGGGCCAGGGGACATAGCTCAAGTGAGAGTGCCTGCTTAGCAAGTGTGAAAAGGCCCAGAGCTCAAATCTCAATACTACTTTTGACAAAAATAAACATGTGCCAGGCGCTGGTGACTCACACCTGTAATCCTAGCTACTCAGGAGGCTGAGATCTGAGGATCACAGTTCAAAGCCAGTCCAGGCAGGAAAGTCTGTAAGACTCTTATTTTCAATTAACCACCAGAAAACTGGAAGTGGTGCTGTGACTCAAGTGGTAGAATACTAGCCTTGAAATGAAGAGCACAGGAACAGTGCCTAGGCCCAAACTTCAAGCCCCACGACCAACCAAAACAAAAGTTTCCTAACTTTTAAACTCCAAAACACTACTTCAAAGTTTCCTATTGGCACATAAATTCTGATTGATGCCCAATTAACTGTCTATCTGTGTTCCTTCCTCTCAGGGAGAGAAATGTGAGATCAAGATCTTACAATTGGCTAGTTTTCTCTTCCAACCTGCAGTAGCCACTGAGGTATTCAAACAAGCACTCTCAACTTCTATTAATCATTTAAGGACTTGGCTGATAATGGTCAAGTGGAAGATGGAGAGAGTCTCAGACAGATAGAGAGACAGAGAGAGAGACAGAGAGAAGGAAATGTTGGCAATTTTATTGAATCCCTATCATGTTCTATATACTGGACTAGGCATTTGACATTAAGAGATAGCATCTAATTTACTAGCATTAGTGTTCCTGGCAGAGAAGGAAGGGATATAAAATAACCTACTTTTTCTACCTCCTGATTCAGTTGCCTGGAACCTGGATTCAAAGAATATGTTTTCATACTCCTGCTGACTCAAGTGCACTTTGATCATAAAAACCCCAGGTTACTATAACCTGTAAAAAAAATTTGTCATTCCCCCTCCCTGCAACAAACTTTAGACATAAATAATGTCATACTCCTACATAAGATCTGCTGAACAACAAGAATATTTATTCTAGAACAATTACATATTCCATTATACTTGTCAAATCTGATAAGTTAGGAAATCCTCATTAGAAGAACCATCAAATATAGAATCTCTTGTCTGGTCTGTGGAAAGCTTATCTACACAGGGCTATAAAGCACAGAGATTAAGAGTCATAGTAAAGGAATTTGCATATGCTTAATTTGCATATTTGAAAATAGAATAATGAAGCCTATTTCAAGAAGAGGGAGATAGGGAAGATGGATAGAGAATAATCACATCACACACTTAGTAGCTTTATGACAATGAATAAATTAACTATCCTCTCTAAATATCAGTTTCTTAATTATTCCTATAGAAGAGGAATAATTGTGTTCCCATATATTAGGATTTATATGGATTAAATAATATAAGAAATTAAAAGCATGAAACATTATATATAAAACAACCACTGTCTGCATATGTGTTACAATTTTCAGCTTTGAGGGTAAGTTTCTTTTCTTCAAATTATGTAACAGGCAGGCATTTTAATGTTCAAAGATTATCTTCAAATAGTATAGTTGAGGTTGCAACAGAAAGATCACAAAAATCAGAGACAGTGGGCTCCACCTCTGCCTTTGACTCAAGGCTACCAATTTAAACAACCACTTAAACGCTCTGAGCATTAGTATTCTCATCCTAAGGCGGGATTCATTATCTTACTACTGTTAGAGGGCTTGTGGGTAGTAAGGAGATGATGACATGTCAAATCTCTACTACTTTTATTCTTTCTGCTTCTTGTCAGAGGATAAAGAGGAGAAAGCACAGCATCAGGAAAACATCTACAAAATATGACTTCATAATTAGTGTTTAAAAAAACCTTGGGCAAGAATATACTGAGCTGAGTGCTGGTAGCTCACACCTGTAATTAGCTACTCAGAAGGCTGAGATCTGAGGATCACAGTTCAAAGCCAGTCCTGGCAGGAAAGTCTGTGAGACTTTTTATCTCCAATAAACCACTCAGAAAATTGGAAGTGGCACTAGGCTCAAGTGGTAGAGCACTAGCCTTGAGCTGAAGAGCTGAGGGACAGCACCCAGGCCCAGAGTTCAAGCCCCACGACCAACAACAACAACAAAAAGAATAATATACTGAAAATTATATTATTATTATTAATATTACTTCTGCCTGGTCCTGGGGTTTGAACTCAGGGTCTGAGCATTGTCCCTGAGCTTCTTTGTGCTCAAGGCTGGTACCATACCTTGAGGCATAGCATCACTTTTTGCTTTGTCTGAGTAGTTTAATGGAGATAAGAGTCTCATAGACTTTCCTGCCCAGGCTGGCTCCAAACCACGAACCTCAGATCTCAGCCTCCTGAGTAGCTAGGCTGACAGGAGTGAGCCACTGGCACCTGGGTGAAAATTATTAATTCACATTATGGTCCTTCTTCATCTCCTCCAAGCTTTCTCTCTTCCCCCACCAATCTCATTGTCCTAAAAAAGGCGCAAGAATAGGGCCTTGTGGGGAAAAAACAGAGTTGGATCATGCCTGACCCTCAAGAGGCTGAGGCAGAAAGATTATAAGTTCAAGGCCAGTCTGGGTTACATAGTACCTCCTCTTTCCCTTCAATAAAGGCAAGAATATTCAGAACTGAAATTTATTTCCTGCGATAAAAAAGGTAATAGACTTTAATAAAGTGAAGTCTTTACAAATTGGGATGTTATATGGTGTAACATATTTTATTTGAAGGAAATTTTTAAAAATTTAAAAATAAAGATACTAATATTAGACTGAGTTTTTTGGGCCTGAATGAAAGTCAGAAAGCTTTCTCCTCCAAAACACCAATGGGAAAACAAACATTTAAAACAACAGTATTTTTAAAGTCTATATCTTGAACTCACGTGTTTTTAGCTTGTCCATCCTGGAAACACATTTGTCCTACTAAAGCAGCAGATTGGTCTCCCAAACACTGAAAGTATAAATGACATTAAAAAAAACATTATAACACTATTACTAATTTTCTTTTTTAGAAGAGCCAGAAGGTTTACTTTTTCATGTTATCTATCAAGGAGTGGAATGTTTTTCATTTCTCTTTCCCCTATTTAGCCAATTTTTCTCATTTGTAATAACCCTACAAGATAATAGTCATGGGAAAGGAGAATCAAAATTAATTTTGCCAAAATTTCCAATGGCTCATCCATGTCACATAAAAATAAGAACTGGCTAGGTGCCGGTGGCTTATACCTGTAATCCTATCTACTCAGGAGGCTGAGATCTGAGGATCGAGGTTCAAAGCCAGCCCAGGCAGGAATGTCCATGAGACTCTTATCTCCAATAAACCACCAGAAAACCAGAAGTGGTGCTGTAGCTCAAGTGGTAGAGTGCTAGCCTTAAGCTGAAGAGCTGAGGGACAGCGCTCAGGCTCAGAGTTCAAGCCCCATGACCGACAAAAAAAATAATAAAAATAAGAACTGGACAATTTTGCTGATGTTACTTGTTTCTCCTTAGTTTAAGAAGGGGCTTACTGCCGGGTGCAGGTGGCTCACGCCTATAAGCCTAACTACTTAGGTGCCTGAGACCTGAGGATCATGATTAAAAGCCAGTCTGGGCAGGAAAGTGTGTGAGACTCTTATCTCCAATTAACCACTAGGAAACCAGAAGTGGCGCTGTGGCTCAAGTGGTAGAGCACTTGCCTTGAGCTGAAGAGCTCAGGGACAGTGCCCAGGCCAAGTTCAAGCCTCACAACCGACCAAAAAACAACAACAAAGGACATACTGACTAAGATAGAGGAGGAAACTGACAATATAACAGGGTGGGAATGGGGAGCTAACAACTTGGTGTTTAGTGATTAAACTTACCCCAGATATTGGCACACCTTCCAAAGCCCCGGCTTTCTAATAAAGTTTAAAAAAGAAATTAGAAACAGTCAAAAATTTTTGGCTCTACAAATAGAACTCAATAGGAATGAACATGAAGAGCAACGTGCCAGAGGATGTGGGCGACAAGACAAAGCAAGTGTTTCAACTCTATGAGTGGTACAGAGACAAGACACTAGAAATATTTCTAGAATGACAAGAAGAGACGTGGTATTGGAAAATGAACATAAAACATGGACTGGGAATCAGGAGACATGAGCTCTATTCCTAGTTAGTTAGTGTTAGGCCACAAGCAGGCTGCTGAAATTTCTCTAGACTACAACTTACTTATTTACAAAATGAGTACCTGGCTAGGTGATTACTGAAGCCCATTACTGCTTTGTTATTATTGCTGCTATTATTATGACTTGTCTAGCATATGCTTTAGGATAGCTATGGAATGAGCATGGAACATAATTGTTTTTGAGAAAGCCATTTTTTATTGACGGTTCTTTTTACTTAAAGTGCTCTTCAGGAAGAAAGAAAAGTGTTCAGTCATTAGATTTTTCTGCTCATAGTAAACATCACTCTTCAAATCTATGCAGGCAACAGTTGAAATGTGGCATGAATAATGAGGTTTTATTTGGATCAATGTGGTCAACATTCTTGAAAGAAACATGAGTTTTAAGTGAATGATTGTTGAGAGGTTATCACTTAGGTAAAATAAAAACATAATAGGGTTGGGGGATGTATCTCAATGGTACGGGTATTGCCTAGCATACGAGAGGATCTGAGTTTGATCCTTAGGACCACTAAAATTACATTTTAAAAAAAGAACACAAAGCTATTTTTGCTGATATCAAAACATTAGGGGAAATAATAAAAGGGATCCCTTAAGTAAGGGTGGTATACCAGAAAGAGCACCAAATAAAGGCTATGGAGTGACTCCTTTGCCTGTTGTTCATGAGCAAATGGCCCTGGGTGCTAATGGCTACTGGGAGCCCTTCAGCACCCTGGCTATCAAAGTGAAGGGAAGAATAGAATCTTCCTCATGTATCTATGATGCTGAGGAATAACATATATGTGAGAAACATTTACAAAAATTAAAAAATCCCCTATAGATAGCTGGAATTATTTTATTTCTTTAAGAACTGCTATATTTCAAGTTATTTTCTTTTCCCAGTGCTAGAGATCTAACACAAGGACTTGTAAAACTACTATGCAAGTTCTCTATCACTAAATGACACCCATAGCCCAAGACCTGCTGTTTTTATTTACTATATATTTTCTTCAAAAACCTAAACCTAGATTCTAAGCAAAGGCTAAATAAATTGCTTAAAGGACTTAAAGTGAAACGACAGGGAACCTAGAGGCTTCATCTTGACTTATCTAAATGCTGTATGTCTGCTTATACTTTTGAAATTATGAAACCTAGCAGAATGTACTTCAGGCACATGAAGCGCTCCTTTTTTCTTCAAGTGGGGGGGAGGGAGGCTTCTGGAGGATTCCTGGAGCATCCTCTGATGAAGCATGCAGAAAAAGTGACAGTGCATTTCCAACTAACTAGTCTGAAAAAAATCAATGAAGATAACATTTAAGATAAATGTTTCAAATATTTTTAAATGATATCTAAATTCCCTATTATTCTAAAGCTCAAAGTACATTATAACTGTACTTTGAAATAGGTAACATCATCATCACTCATTCCAGGAACCTAGCTCTTTTATTTTGGGAAGCATTACTCTTGGTCTTAAGAAATGAATAGGATTAATTTTTTTTAAAAAAAAAAACAAACTAAACTGAGCTTATATTTTGGAGGGTAATGGAAATTCTAGGTAAGTCTGTTTGGTAAATGAACTTCTGCTTGTCTAAAAATAAATGGAAATGCACTGTATCTTTTCCAAATGAATGGGCAGCATAATTGGTGGGTAACCTACTCACCAGGCTATGAGAGATTTTCTATAGTCAGCAAGAGGAAAAAGGGGGACAGAAGCATAACATTTTAAATGCAAGAGAAAACTAGGCCAGTTAACTGTTTTCTTTCAATCACTGAAACTATTTCTCAAGAATAGTTTCTTTTCTCTGAGACAACTCAGTTTGTGGTAAGTGTGAAGGTGTCAAAGCACTTTTATTATAGATATTGTGGTGGCGACGCCTGCCTTAAGAAATTCCATGTCGCCTTAAAAAAGCTTTATTAAAAATTAAACAGTGCAATCTCAAGGTTCATCCAGAGCATTTGGGCTTCAACTCTATTCTAATGAACTCTATAAAGGAATTTCTTTCTAATCTTCTGGTAAGTTGTCTTAAACTTATCCATTTTTATCACAAATTCTCCACTTTCATACTCAAATACAAATTCCAATTCTCCTAGAGGTTCTCATTACATATGTCTGACCACAAATTCTCAATGATGCAACATACTTTTTGCTGAAACTACTTTTTGTGAGGTTTCAATGCAAGCAATAATAAAAATATTATGGAAATCAGTTTAATTAGCAATCTCAATTCAGAAACAGACTCTTTAATTTCAGTTTCTTGGCTAGATCTTTCTCAGGATAACAAGAGCCATTAGGAAACATTCTTTAAGAAAAAGAACTCGAATAATCTATGAATAGTACCTGCTCAAAATTAAAAGCAGATTATCATAGCTACTAGTTATTTTGATTGAAAATAATAAACTGGCTCAAACATTCCCACACCACTGTTTGAAGTTAGGTAATCCTAAGAAAAATCAATTAAAGTTTGTAAGTTTATGAAGACTATTTGTACTATTTTTAGTTATAAAACTATTTAAACAACTTTTTACATAGTACCAACATTCACAGAAAAGGTCCATATCCCAAACTATAAAACACAATAAAATTGACTATTGAATTTTGAATAGTAATTTTTTAAGTCTTCCCCTCCCCCTTTTAATATTTTTACCATTAAGCCATAGATCTCAGAAGAACTCCGGACATTTGGAAGAATTTCCATTGGAATTCCAAAAAATCTGAAAAATATCATGTTTGGGTATATGACACCATTTGAATAAACACCTAGAAAATTTTATATGCACTCAAAGGAAAAATATAAATAATTAGAAAATGCATTGAAACATAGTTAAAGTAATAGGTATATAAACCATCAGACTATAGTTATATGTTTAAAATGTTTTTGTGTATGCCAGTCCTAGGGCTTTAATTCAGGGCCCAGGAGCTGTCCCTGAGCCTTTTTGTTTAAGGCTGGCACTCTACCACTAAAGTCATAGCTTAACTGCCAGCTTTTTGCAGTTTATTTGGAGGTAAGAATCTCATAGACTTTCCTGCCTAGGTTGGTTTTGAGCCCTGACCCTCTGATCTCAGCCTTCTGAGTAGCTAAGATTACAGGTATAAGGCACTGGCACCCAACTGATTTTTTGGCAGTACTAGGGGTTTCTAGGCAAGCAATCTACCACTTGAGCCACTACCCAGCCCTATATTTGGGCACTTAACACTCTACCTTTGTGTAATCAATTCAATAAAAATTAAAAGTACACTAAGAAACCAAAGTACTTTTCTAAAGGAATCTTAATGCATTCAGAGTAATTAGTTGCACCTGTTTATTATATGCAGTAGTAAGTCTCCCTTAAAAAAGAATATAACAGGGACTGGGAAGGTAACTCAGTGGTAGAATGCTTGCCTTGCATGCATAAGGCCCTGGGTTCAATTCCTCAGCACCACATAAGCAGAAAAAATTGGAAGAGGCACTGTGGCTCAAGTGATAGAGCACTAGCCTTGAGCCGAAGAGCTGAGGGACAGTGCCCAGGCCCAGAGTTCAAGCCCCATGACCGACAAAAAAAGGAAATATAACATACACTTTCATATTGCAGTTGTCAATAGTTAAATTGTGGTGATCCACTAAAGTGATAATAGTGACGCTTGGGTTATAAATAAGTAACACACTGGGAAAGCTATACTTAGGGTAATACACAACTTACTCGCAGAGCTCTTTATCCCATTCTAAAGAATGAATGTTGAAAAGCATTGTCCTACTTGCATTCGTTACATCAGTACAGTGGACACCACCATTGACTCCTCCTGTCAGACTCTAGACAGAATATAACAGACAAGATTAAATTTGTAATATTTGCAATTTAATTTACATTGCTATTGTTAAGGGCCACAATCAGCAGCAGAGCACAAAAAGCACAACATTCCAGTTACTGAGTTTTCTAGTTTTCAGCAATGTTTAATAGAAATAAAATGTGAGCTACATCCATAATTATAAGCATTGTAGCCATGATTTTAAAACCACAGAAAGAAGCAGGTGAAATTAATTTTAATAACACTATTTTATTAAACTCAATATAATTTTTGTGCCAGTATTGGGGCTTGAACTCAAGGCCTTATGCCCTTGCTTGGCTTTTTCCCCTCATGGCTGGCTATCTACTGCTTGAGTCAGGCCTCCAGTTCAGGTAATTTGTTGGTTAATTGAAAATATCAATCTCCAGGACTTTTCTACACAGGCTGTCTTCAAACCTTAACTCTCAGATCTCAGCCTCCTGAGCAGCTAAGATTACATGTGTGAACCAATAGTGGCCAGCTTTCCAAATATAATATGAATATGTAACCGATATTTAAAATTACCAAACAATTGGCCTTCTTTTGGTACAGTCTATGTACTTTATAGTCATAGTGCATCATAGTTCTAAGTGACTGTATTTCAAGTATCCATAAACACATGGGGCTTGTGGCCACAGAGTTAGTGTAATCTTAGTTAGTGGGTGGTTAAACAAACGGAAAGAAATCAGTTTTGTTTTTATCTTATCTTTGGAAAATTCAGTCTTACTCAATTTTACTATGTGAAATAAATGGAAAAGTTTGCCTACCTAAGGGCTTTAGAGACATGTATTCTCAATTTTTTTTCTTTCTTAATAACAATTCACATATATCCTGAAGATAAGAGTTTAAAATTCCATATTAACACCTACAACCAGGAAGTACATTCAGTGCTGCCCCTATTTATAAAAGGAACGAAGGTGGACAAATGACACCCTTCAGTCTCCAGCTCACAGTTCCCACATCCTGTCTCTCTGGTTGAAGGCAATTGTAATAGCTACTCATTCAACTATGACTGGCACATAATAAACAGCTGGTCCTTTGCACAACTGCCCTGTTCTAAGCACAGGGAGGGGATGGATAAGGCATTTCATCCAGGAAATGATTCTGAAAGACCTGCTTTGTGGATCTGGCAAGTGAGAAACAAGACAATATTCCCTTGTGTTTCCTCAAGTGTCGAAAAATGTTCACATACTACTTAAAAATGCAATGATATACTTGGGTTTGTGTTAAAATGATCTGTCAGAGGCTAGGTACCAATGGTTTACACCTATAATCCCAGCTACTCAGGAGGCTAACAGCTGGAGGATCACCATTTAAAGCCAGTCTGGTTATCTTGGAGACTTAACTTTAAAATAAAGAGTAAAAAGCCAGGGTGGAGGCATGACTCAAATGGTAGACTGTGGGCCAAGCAAGCCAAGTTAAGCAAGTAAGTGCTCAAGGCCTTGGATTTAAACCCCCAATACTAGGGAAAAAAATTCATCTGTGGAGAGAAAGAATAGGTATATACAATTCCTGAAAAAAGATTGGCCTGTAGGTCGATAATTGTTGCAGCTGGCTTATTGTTAGAGATGCTCATTAGACTATTTCCTCTACTCTTAAGAACACTGGAAAACACTCATGATGAAAATAATGGAGAATGAAGTGGGAGAACAAACCACAAGGGAAATGTACTTTTAAGATCTATCTTGGAAATGTCTAAAATTTCTGTTCAGCTTAGGCAAAAAGAGACTATATAAAAGAAATTTCTAGAACAACCAGTTTCTGAGTCCTGCTGCTTCTCAGTACTCTTCTGAGCAGCCTTTACTGTCTCTTTGTTAAATAAACTCCTTGTTACCTTACTTAAAAAAATTTCCACTCTTATTTAGTTTTCTATTATGGCTTGATTACACAAAAGACAGGTATGAAATGTTGAAAGTGAATGAAAAAAGTACCTTATGTGTTTTGTCATGTTAAATAGATTGTTTTCTGAGGAATTCCTTGGAAGGAAAAAAAAGCATATGACAGGTGAGAGAAAGACTCAGTTACTTATTCTAAATATATTAGATTTATGTCTTTGGTCATTATCCTCCAAGTTCAAAGCAAGAAAGGCAAGAGAAAAAAGAGGAAGCAGACAACATGCTTCACAAATGAAAGCTGAAATATTCTGCTACTCCTTGAGTGTTTTTTTTTTTCGTAACAATGCTAACTGAAAGTTCAAAATGTTGGTAGAAAATGATAGGCAAGTCATTCTAAAAAAACTCCACAAATTTTCCATATATACATTGTATTTAAACATACCCAAATAAGCCATGAATCAATGGTTCCAAAAAGAGCTCTATTTTCTTCCACAGCCTTTTGCACTTTTTTCACATTGTCAAGGAGCCAACGAAGTTTCACTGCACTGAAGTAAGTGCTAAGTGGAAGTCCTGTCTTGGACTAAAACAGGAAATTCAGCAAAATAAATTTATAACAGTTCTAAACAAAAACCTCCATGTCAAAGAACTCAAGAAATCACAAAATAGTTAAATGTCCTAAGTATAATCACTAGAACTAGGAATGAAAACTCTTTTCCTATCTCATGATGGCACAGGAAAGCATGGTCAACAAACAAAGATCAGAACAATTATGTTTGCAGTTCAAAGAGCATCCACGTAGCAAGCAAAGAGAAAATTAAGTGACACAACATCCTGTAATTAGATAGTGTCACTGTAGATGGTGTTTTGCAATAAATTACCAGTATAAATAGAACCTAGCCCTAAAGTCTGAAGATTATATTTTATGTCATCAAAGTAGTACACTACTGAAAACCAGAGTGTATATCTAATGACCATAATTAGAAGGTTGTTTTCAGGGCTGGGAAGGTGGCCTAGTGGTAGAGTGCTCGCCTAGCATGCATGAAGTCCTGGATTCAATTCCTCAATACCACATGCACAGAAAAAGCCAGAAGTGGCACTGTGGCACAAATGGTAGAGTGCTAGCCTGGAGCAAAAAAAGAAGCTCAGGGACAGTTCCCAGGCCCTGAATTCAAGTTCCAGGACTGGTAAAAAAAAGGTGTTTTCAAACACATGATTTCTTAACAATAACATTTTTGTGTTTATACACATATACAACATTCAAATAACACAGTAATATAAAGAGTGAAAAGCAAAGTAGAACATAGACATTCCAGAATAAAGCAAAACAAAATTATTCTACATAAATAGTCCACTGACTAAAGTCACCAAATACACTGAACAGGAGCAAGGACTGAATAAAGACTAAAGGGTAAAAATGAAACACATGTACTTATCAATCTTCCTTGACAATGAGTCAGATCCAACTTCACTTGTAAAGATATTAAATAAAAATTTAAATATAAAAGTTGGCCTTTATAGCAATCTGTAAATTAAGAATCTTAATGGAAAGACTTGGAAAAAATTATATTAAGTGAAGTAAGCCAAAGAAACATAGGTCCCATGGTTTCCCTTATTTGCAATATCTAATATATGTCTGAGTCAAAGCAGAAAAGGTCAGATAAGGTGATGTTAGGGAAATGAACCCTAAGATATGTATTCAAATGTTTTTTTCTTTCATGCGATTGTTTCTAACACATTTATAAGATTATTTCTTTGTTGCTTTGTATGCCCCTCCCCCTGCTTTCACTGTATTTGATGTCGGTATAATTTGTGGAGGGGAAGGGAAAAAACAAATCGTTTAAATAGGGATACAGGTGGGCCCATTGCAACAATGAGATGTACAAGTCGTTATGTTGAAAACGAACTTCACAACTTTGGTGAAGGGGTGGGGGAGGAGAGGGGAAGGAGGATTGGGTAGGGGCTTGGGGGGAGGATGGGAAGGGATGGGAAGTGGAAACAAAGGAGGAGGAAACAATGCTTGATAAGAAATGTACTCATTATCTTGCCCGTGTAATTGTAACCCCTCTGTACAGTATTTTCACAATAAAAAAATAAAATAAAATTCCTAGAACTTAAAAGAAAAAAAAAAAAAAAAGAATCAATGCAGCCAGGTGCCAGTGGCTCACTCCTGTAATCCTAACTACTCAGGAGGCTGAGATCTAGAGATCATGGTTCAAAGTCAACCTAGAAAGTCCATGAGACTTTTATCTCAAATTAACTTTTATCTCAAATTAACTAACAAAAAGCTAGAAATTGGCCAGGTGCCAGGGGCTCACGCCTATATTCCTAGCTACTCAGGAAGCTGAGAGCTGAGGATCACGGTTCAAATCCAGCCCAGGCAGGAAAGTCCCTGAGACTCTTATCTCCAATAAACTACTCAGAAACCGGAAGTGGTGCAGTGATTCAAGTGGTAGAGTGCTCATCTTGAGCTGAAGAGCTGAGGGACAGTGTTCAGGCCCAGAGTTCAAGGCCCATCAAAAAAAAGGTAGAAATGGAGATGTGGCTCAAGTAGTAGAGCATTAGCCTCAAATAAAGAAGCTCAGGGACAGTGTCTAGGCCTTGAGTCCACACTCTAGGAATAGCAAAACAACCACCACCACAACAAAACCCCTTACTTAATGCAACATTTTCTTATGGCAATATTATTTGACTTGGAAGACCAAGAATTATCTCATAGGATGATTTTTGAAGAGGATGATTTTTGAAGATCCCACAAACCTGGCAGTGAGGTAGTACATATTACTTGATTCCCCCCCCCCCCCCGGTCGTGGGGCTTGAACTCTGGGCCTGGGCGCTGTCCCTCAGCTCTTCAGCTCAAGGTAAGCACTCTACCACTTGAGCCACAGCGCCACTTCCAGTTTTCTGGTGGTTTATTGGAGATAAGAGTCTTGCGGACTTTCCTGCCCAAGCTGGCTTTGAACTGCGATCCTCAGAGCTCAGCCTCCTGAGTAGCTAGGATTACAGGCATGAGTCACTGGTGCCCAGCTTTATTACTTGATTTTTATGATATGGGTAGAAAGTTTAAAAGTTGCCTTTTAGGCTGGGAAGGTGGCTCAGTGGTAGAGTGCTTGCCTTACATTCATGAGGACCTGGGTACAATTCCTCAGCACCATATAAACATAAAAACCCGGAAGTGGCGCTGTGGCTCAAGTGGTAGAGTCCTAGTCTTGAGCACAGAGAAGCTCAGGGACAGTGCCCAGGCTGAGTTCAAGCCCCAGGACTGGCAAAAAAAAAAATGTTGCCTTAAGTATCACTGGGAAAAAAACATGTATCTCCAGAAGCCCAGTTCAGCTGGATGTGACCATGAGAGGTCAGGCAGTGTGACAAAAAGAATGGATCAGGAAAACAGTCAAGGGTTCATTCAAGGTAGAGCTGAAACTGTTTAAACAGGGAGAAGGGCTAAGAATAGTTGTCTGGACAGTTATTATTAATGTGATTTGAACACTGGTTTCAGATCCAAGGACCAAAAGAAAATGATATAAGCATCTTATTAGCAAATGAAAGAGAATAATCCAAAAACCAAAAGCCAAGCATATAAACATATCAACAAAAAATACAGGACATGAAAAGTTCTTTTTGAATTCTAGAACTTGGCTTTGATGTTGTTTAGAAATTCTTCCTTCATTGATATGAAGAGAAAGATATATATGAAGACTGAAAATTAGGAATTCTTTTTTCCAATCCTGGGACTTGAACTCAGGGCCTGGGCACTGTCCCTGAACTCAAGGCTCAGTGCTAGTTCAAGGCTAGCACGCTACCACTTGAGCTACAGCACCACTTATGGCTTTGTCTGTGTATGTGGTACTGAGGAATTGAACTCAGGGCTTCATGCATGCTAGACAAGTACTCTACCACTAAGCCACATTCCCAGCCCAGGATTTTTAAAAAATATTTTTGCTTATATGAAGTAGAAGTCTTCAGTAAAGGACTAGATTATCTTCTACTTTCTCTCCCTCTTCCCAAATCCAGATGCATAAAACCTCAAGGCACCCAGAACTTTCTTCGCTGGGCAACAGGACACAATAGGAATAAATACTGAAAGAATGGTTGAATTACCATTCTTGTCAATCCATCAACCTGGGCCTCAGTTTATTTATATTCTATAAATCTATTACACAACTACTTTACCATTAGATGTAAGGCCCAATAGGAGGTTTGTTTGTGAAATCTGTTAACATTGGATTTTTAAAAACCAAATTTTGACAATATATTATTGAAGTGATCTCTTACCTTGACAAAGTTATTATTTCCTGGAATTCTTTTACTAAGATTCTCAACAGTAGACTGGGTTCTTAGATCAAGCCACACTATAGATCAAAATATAACACATATGAAAAAAAGTCATAACAATAAAAACTTAATGAAATCACTGTCAACGATAAGAGATTGATTAGTTTCCATACACAATTAAAATGCTATAGCTCTTAAGAGAGAAATTAGAAATTAGAAATGAGTGGGAAAAATTGTTAGAAAAGAACAAATTTATGAGGGAAAATTTAAAGGTTCTATGCAAAATTACAGACCAAATTATGAGAACAATACAAACCTCATAGCTTTCATTTCATATTCTTCTTATGGAAAAACCTTACAAAAATGTTTGAAATATGTATTTGTCTAAACACACATGAGTGTACCAAAGACTTAAGAGGAAGGCAGGCTGGTTGGGAGAAGAAAATTTAAACAGCTCAATGTAAAGTGTATAACTTGGGAACAATCTGTGACAAAGATAGCAGAGACCTGATCTTGTTACTAAAGAAAAAAAATCCATCATTAATGTAGAAATTGCGTATTTACATTTAAAAACTTCAAACTATACTAGATCTGATATCATTTAAAAATGTAAATGTCACACTTTCCTATTCTGGACTGTATGGAGAAAAACCTGTTCTAACAGATCAAAATGATCTTTACTATAATAGCTAGCATTCATTTTCTAATCTCCAAGTAGAAATTGTTTTGTTTCATGACAAAAGGCTTGGGCAAGAGAAACCACTAAATAGTACAATACCCAATTTTGAGAGGTAACCAATGGAATTAATGGAATTAGCTGGGCTTTATTTGTCAAATTGAACTTAAGTTGTTCACTAAACTTTAACAACTTTTAATCTATTAAGGGTCACGTGTGTTTTGTGTGTGTGTGTGTGTGTGTGTGTGTGTGTGTGTGCGCGCGCGCTGGTCCTGGGGCCTGAACTCAAGGCCAGGGTGCTGTCCCTGAGCTGCTTTTGCTCAAGGCTAGCACTGTACTACTTGACCCACAGCTCCACTACTTGACCCACAGCTCCACTTCTGGCTTTCTGGTGGTTAATTGGAGATAAGAATCTCATGAACTTTCCTGCCCAGGTTGGCTCTGAACTGTGATCCTCAGAGCCCATCCTCCTTGGTTATGTTTAGGACACTGACTATACTCAGATGCCTTCTGAAAACATTCAGGCCCATTAATCTATTTAAAGGACTCCATGGAAGATAAAAGTAGCTTGCCCATGACATACATCTGACACAGATGTTGCTTTGTTTGATTTGTGCTTTACCTGTATTATTCGGTTTTCTTCATTTAAAATCATTCATTTCTTATAGTGAATTTTAATCATTTTTTTCTAATTACTTAAGCTGTCATTTCTCTTGAGGAACCTATGCTTAATTTTGACTGTGGCTACTTCCCATGAGATTTAAATTGGGGACTTCAGGATATGGCAGATATAAAAAGCTGCTATATTAGCCAGGTGCTGCTGGAGGTTCACAAATGTAATCCTACCTACTCAGGAGGCTGAGATCTGATGATCATGGTTCAAAGCCAGCCTGGGCAGAAAAGTCCCTGTAAGACTCTTATCTCAAATTAAACAACAGAAAAGTGGTGCTGTGGCTCAATGTTGTAGAACACTAGACTTGAGGTTAAAAAGCTCAGGGACAGTGCCCTGGGCCCTGAGGTCAAACCCCATGACCAACCAAAATAAACCCAAACAAACAAAAACAAGCTGCAATAAAAAGAGCCATCAAAACCACGAAAATAGGAGGAAAAACAAAACATGAAAATAGGTGGCCTATAGATTAAATCTGCAGTTTTCTGACCAGCCTCCCTTCTTCCTTCATCCAGGAGCAGTATCACACATTCTCTTTAGGAAGTCAGCTCTCTTTCATCCATGGCCATATGTCTTGTCTGAGATTTGACCCTACCTTGATTGCCAGTATTGGGTCTAGACCCAGTGTTTGGTTCAGACTTCAGTGGTTTATCAAACAGCTCAAGCTAGATTTGTGTTCAGTCCATGTACGAGAGTGTCTAACATGGGACTGCTGTCTTATGAAGGGAGATCTGAATCTGCCACATTAGGAGCTATCCCAGAAAAGACAGACTTGTGGGGTATCCAAGTAACATTACCTGAGTTCAGAATCAAATGGCACTTAAACAAAGTTACCCTTAGATGGCTGGTTCCCCTAGCAAAAGAACCATTTTTTTCACCTCATTTAGTTGGAATTGAGTATTCTAGCATTTCATACTATGATTGATTCAAGCCAACAGTGACATTACCATGGAGGCAGCAGGATCTTCTGTTGCCAGGTAACCAGGGCAGTCTGCTTTTTACACAGTGGTGGCACTGTATAACTGTGACAAAAGTGGATCTTCCTCACAATCAAGCAACCTTACCAGGTGTTATTGAATTAACAGGAGTAATTGGAAAGAGTGAAAGAAGTAGAGTTTTAACAAGTACATATCAATCCCCAGTATTTTTAACTATTGACAGCTATGCATTCAGAAATCAATTTAGTGCATTTTGATTACCTACTTCAAAAATTGAAACAGGATAAATTTCAATGAAACCCCCCATACTATTAATATATTGAAATAAAAATAGGATTTGAATGATAAATATCAGAATTCTCTGCATTTGTTAAGATTACTAGTAACTTGTGGTACTTCAGTTTTCCTTATGTGGGTTTGCTGTATCATAATATAAAATGTATCTCTTACCAAGGAACATAGATAAATAAATTTGAAAGCTACTAACTTGGGTATTATTTTGTGCTCATCCTGGTGTTTAAACTCAGGGCTGGGGCATTGTCCCTGACCTTTTTGTGCTCAGGGATAGTGTTCTACCACTTTGAGCCACAGTGCAATTTCCAGCTTTTTCAGTAGTTAATTCAAGGTAAGACTCTCATGGACTTTACTGCCTGGGCTAGCTTTGAACCATGATCCTCACATCTCAGCCTCATGAACAGCTAGGATTACAGATATGAATCATGAAAGCTCAGCCATTGGACATTTTGTTTTGTTTTATTTTTGTTCGTCATGGGGCTTGAACTCTGGGCCTGGGTGCTGTCTCTCAGCTCTTCAGCTCAAGGCAAGCACTCTACCACTTGAACCACAGCGCCACTTCTGGTTTTCTGAGTGGTTGAATGGAGATAAGAGTCTCATGGACTTTCCTGACTGGGCTGGCTTTGAACCGTACTCAGATCTCAGCCTCCTGAGTAGCTAGGATAACAGGTATGAGCCACTGGCACCTGGCCCATTGGACTTAAAAAAAATAACATTAGCTTTCTAACACTAGTGTTTCTCCTATTAATAGCTTGGACATTCACTGAGGAGTTTAATGATCCTTATTGCAAAGACTCAAACACTGGAGGTAGACTCATGAACCCAAAGTTCTACATTTGGCTTTTCTACTAACAAACTTTGTGACTAAGCAAATCTTCTTTTTGGCCTGGATTTTCTAAATATGAAAGGAGGCTGGGCTAAACAGTCTCATGATATTTATGTTGTTTCAACAGCTAAAGACTTTAAGGGAATTAGAATACATGGACTGAATTAGTAAAACTGCCAAAGAGAAAGATGTCAGTGGTTGACATACTACCAAGCAATTCACCAATGCTCCCAATTAATGAAATTAAGAACAAAAACATTAGAGAACTCATTAAAGAAGCTAAGATGGCAACATTAGATTTGCAGAAGACCAAACACCAAAGAGAAGAGCCCAAGCTGGAAAACTAAGCCCCCTGTGTAGCTAATTTCTGAGAACAATCAAAAGAATTGACAGAACCAGATCTGGCAGCAGCAGTCAATTTTCCCCAACATGTCTGAGTTGGAAGGTTGGGAAGTGAGCAACAGCCAGAGCACCAATACCTGAGGAAGTACCAGCAGCTGGAACTGAAGAGCCAGAGGGAACAACGGCAACTGGAACTGAAGAATCAGGAGAAACTGGAGCAGCTGGAGCATTAGAAGAAATAATGGCAATTCATGCTAGAGATGGCCAGGTTCAAGATCAGTGTACTCTTACTGACCACATAGGAGGTAGCAGACCACTTGGGTTAAGTTCATCAGAATGAACGTTTTTCTACACATTTGAGTGTAGAAAAAGAAAACAAAGAGACATGGAATGGAAAGGGAATGAAGAAAAGTCCAGTCTGAATGTCTAGTTCCAATAGTACTCCTTTTTGGATGCTTCTGATTCAGGATGAATGACAATGTAAATGCATCCTAGTTAGAAAAACTAGTGAACTGAAATGATGCATCATGGACTGGATTGGAATCATCATGTTTTTAGGGAGCACACAGGGGGATGTTAGAAAGGAATAAGGAACATGTTACCATCTGTGTTATAGCCATCTGCTGTAGGAAATGAAAGGGGTATTTTGGGCAAGCACAGTCCCAAGAAATCACTTTCCCAGTAGGGCAACTGGAAGTAAAGGCCACCTCCCCAGAAAGGAATAGCATATGTTTAGAGCAAACAGGAAATTGCTAATTCCCAAAGTGATTAGGGCAAAAAGAGGAAAATAGATGCCTGGGAATTCAGAACACAATACATCCTTGCTTCTAGAAGTTATATCCTTTATCTAGACCAAGTAAATTAGAATTAAATGGTGTAAAAGAGATATTAAGTGATTAGAAGCCTCAAATGTAAAATATCAGTAAAGTTTAAATATAAACTATCCAGTATTATTAAGTTACTGCAAAATATAACAGTACATCTTTACCCAGGATTCCAGAGCTATAAGACTTTTCAAAAGATCTATATCAGGGTATCAGTGGCTCAAGCCTGTTATCCTAGCTACTCATGAGGCTGAGTTCTGACGATCGAAGCTCGATGCCAGCTCTAATTAACAACCCACAAAAAAGGCCAAAAATGGAGGTGTGGTTCAAGTGGTAGAATGCTAGCCTTGAGCAAAAACAAAAACAAATGAACAAACAAAGCTCAAGGACAGCACATAGGCCCTGAGTTCAAGCCCACAATCAGCACCAAAACACAGAAATGTGTAATAAAAGAAAAAAAAAACAATGTTACATAACTATGAATAGCCTATATTACACAAAAGTAATAATAACTTCCTTCTACTGGGATGTGCTTATAATCCCAGCACTTGGCAGAGTAAGGCAGGAGGATGAAATCCCTGTCCAACCTTGGTTATGCGTAGCTAGACTCTCTCAAAACAAATTCTGCTCCCTTTCAAAGAAAAATTTAAAAACAAACACTACACACTGTTATTGTGAAAGGCCAACTTGCTTAGGGACTTTCGCGGTTTCTCATGTGTGGGTTTCTTTCTTGATTCTTTGAAACAAAACTCAGTTCTACAAACAGAAAAAAATAATAATAAATAAAACAAATGAGCTCAAGCTATTTTCAGGTCTTTCCAAAGATGCTAACATAGGTATATAATCCCTGCCCCACAGTTAAACATGGTTTTTGAAAGGACAGAGATGGTCAATATCTAAAAGTGTAACTGCGTAGTTGTGTTACAGGGAACTTTTAAATCCAACAAAGTGCTTGGGAAAAACATTTGTAATGCACTTTACATAAGAAAAAAAGTTAAGACAAAGAAATGGTTTTGTTGTGGATTACTTTCTTTAATATATCAGAAATCTTCAACCAGTAATTTTGCCTCACTGTATATTAGTCCCAGTTATGGATGGTATTTTATGTTAATTCATAGATTATGTTCTACTGAAAGCAATCAGAATGAGGGTTTGAATTGACTGCCATGGACACCAGTCAACTGAGTCATCTAACACAGCCAATAATGGGAAAAGTGAGCATCCTGCCTAGGTTGGTTACAGTAGCATTAATGAAAAAAGGGTGTGGACACACTACATGTGGCCTTTTTTTTCTGATCCTGTGGTTTGAACTCTGGGCTTGGGTGCTGTCCCTGTGCTTTTGTCCTCAAGCCTAGTGCTCTACCACTTGGACCAGAGCTCTCCTACTGGCTTTTTTTTGGTTATTATTTGGAGATAGGAGAACCATGGCAAGGCTTTGGTTACTCAGGCCTATAATCCTAGCTACTCAGGAGGCTGAGTTCTGAGGATCTTGGCTCAAAGCCAGCCAGGGCAGGAATGTCCATGAGTATCTTATCTCCAAATAAACCACCAGAAAACCAGAAGTGGCACCATGGCTTAAAGTGGTAGAGCACAAACCTTGGCCAGAAGAGCTGAGGGACAGTGCCCAGGCCCAGAGTTCAAGACCCACAACCAACCAAAAAAAAATGTGGCCCATGGACTTTCCTGCCTTGGCTGGCTTTGAACCTTGATCCTCAGATTTCACCTCATGAGAAGCTAGGCTTGAGGCACTAGCACCTGTCTAAATGTCACTTATTTAAGCTTTCCCTTACTCTACAAAGGTAGAGTTGTTTGTAGTCTAAAACCAAACCTCTTAGTAACAATAAATTACAGTAACTACTTATAAGAGTTAGTTTTGAAAGGAATGAGCTATAAATGGTGTGTGTGTGGGGGGGGGCTCTTTAGCAAAGATTATTTGCCAAAATAATTAATGCTAAAAGGGAAAGAGAAAAGTAGCAGGGAAACAAGGATAACTGAAGAAAGTGAGAGAAGCCAAGGGTCTGTTTCAGATCCAGGGCTCTAAAGCTCTCTCCAAATCCACTAATGACATTATCATAGTAAAGTGTTGCATCATGGTATAGGAGAAACAGTGATATCAAGTGACATTCTGCCATTTTAGATACCACATTACAGTTTACCTTATTAGTCTCAAAATTAACAAGTAGCTTCTAAAAAAGGCCATCTGTACCTCAATGGACTATTGGAACTTTTCCCTATGCTTATAATGCTATCTGTCAGAAAACAATAAACAAGCATGCCTTTGTTGCAAGTACCAACAGCCTTTCTAAGAATTTAGCATTTCTCAGTATTCAGATTCTCCATTAAACCCATGCCATGGCTACCAATGAGGTCTTCAAATCCTCCTATCTTGGTTTCTTTATTACTATACTGGGAATGTGTGAATTTATTCCTTCCCAAGTATACCTGAGCCATAAAAATGCCCATGTACACATAAGAAAAATCTAAAAATATGGGCTGGGAAAGTGGCTCAGTGGTAGAGCGCTTGCCTTGCATAGATGAGGCCCTGGGTTCGATTCCTCAGTACCACATAAGCAGAAAAGGCCGGAAGTGGTGCTGTGGCTCAAGTGGTAGAGCGCTCGCCTTGAGCTGAAGAGCTGAGGGATAGCACCCAGGCACAGAGTCAGGCCCCACAACTGACCAAAAAAAAAAAAAAAAAAAAAAAAGAAAGAAATCTAAAAATAAGACTAAAAAGAGCTCCTCTCATTTGCTCATGTAGTATTATTACTCATCAGTTATGTAATTCAGTAAGTAAAAACAGAGGAAAATGAACGCAAGGAAAGCCAAGAGACTGTTATAAGAAGGAAAAAATAGAAGGAAGAAAGCATACAAAGAGAGCTATGAAGTGAATGTTCTGGATTGCCTCAAAATTCATTCCCCCCAATCCTAACACCAAATACAAAGGTATGAGGAAATGAAGATTTTGAGAGATAACTACATCATGAGGGTAGTACTCTCATGAATGGGATTATTGCTCCTAAAAAGAGACAGGAAGGAGATTGATTTCTTACTCTTCTCTCTGTCATATGAATATGACAGTCATCTGCAAACTGATACTGAATCTGCTGACACCTTGATTGACCTCAAACTTCTAGCTTCTACAACTGTAGTAAATACATTCCAATGGTAGAAGCCACTTAGTCTATAGTCTTTGTGTTCTTAGTCTGAACTAATACTGAGGGAATAAAAAGTATAAATACTAGCTCATGCCTGCCATACTAGCTACTCAGAAGGCAAATATCTTCAAAAAGTCTATGAGACTCTTATCTCTGAATAACAAGCAAAATGTTAGAAGTGAAAATGTTGCTCAAGTGGTAGATTGCCAGTCTTGAGTGAAAAAAGAACTAAAAGAGAATGCCCAATTCCTGAGGTCAAGCTCCTGTACCAACACCAAAATTTTTAAATGAATAAAATTAGACTATAATAGAAATAAAGCCAAAGTAGCTCAAAGATAAAAATGGTTCTGTTTCTATTAATCATGTCTGATATTGCTGTAGGAAAAGGCTGCTAAAACTTTAATTTTTTTTGTTGGTTGTGGGGCTTGAACTCTGGGCCTGGGCGCTGTCCCTCAGCTCTTCAGCTCAAGGCTAGCTCTCTACCTGAGCCAGAGTGTCACTTCCGGTTATCTCATGGCTTATTGGAGATTAAGAGTCTCACAGACTTTCCTGCCTGAGCTGGCTTTGAACCACAATCCACTGATCTCAGCCTCCTGAGTAGCTAGGATTACAGGTGTGAACCACCAGCGCCCAGCTTAATATTATTGTGATAGCTTCAATAGAAGACCTACATCCTACATGCTGATAATGACATTTTAGCATCTTTCTTAAAGTTAGATGCACAATCTATTCTTTGTAATTATTTAGTGCCTTGTCTTCTTAACTACTTGTGTTCTCTTCCATTCAGTTCAATTCCACTTTCTCCTTCCAGCTTCCTAAATCCTATCCTTAGGATACATTAGGGTACATTTGCAAGTACCCAGCCTGCTTAATCACTATATGGCTAGGGTTCACTACAGAACCTGGAACATAGAAAGGTAACCTAAACTTTTGGTGGCTAAATTTACATGAATTTATACAGTGAATTCATTTTCATAGATGCTTTCAGCAGAGTGGTATGTTTGAAACACATTCTACCAATGTACAATAATAAACTTTCCTTTATCATGACTTTCATCCCAAGCTGCCAGTTGTATCAAGTCTACACTATTGTGAAATGCTTCCTATATAATCAGCAATCCTGTATATCCAAATAGGAGCACATACTTTAGGGTTGGAGACTGTTTATGTTCAAACTGTGGCTTTATGCTATACGACATTGAATTAAGTTACAGCGCTTTTCTATAGTTAATTTATAAAATAAGGCCAGCAAAGCCTATTTAGAGGATCACTGAAATTAAATAATCTGGGTAAAATAGATAACATGATACCACAGGAATAGTAGCCCTTGGTTCTACTAACAGGGAGTCAACTTATACTCAAATGCAATCCATCTCTTTACTCTTCTGTGAAATGTGTATATGTTTTCACCTTCATAGCTTGTGTACACTATTGCTTAATTCTTCCCTCTCATAATGGGACTTAACACATGCATCAAGGCCCAAATGAAGTATGACCTATACCATGAAAAGTATGCCACAAACTTAAAATCCATACTGACATGGGCTTGTTTTAATTCCTATTCAATTTATTTTTATTTTTATTCTTTGCCAGTCTTGGGGCTTGAACTCAGAGCCTGGGAACCGTCCCTGAGCTTCTTTTGCTCAAGTCTAGTACTCTACCACTTGAGCCACAGCACCATTTCTGGCTTTTTCTGTTTATGTGATACTGAGGATTTGAACCCAGAGCTTCATGCATGCTCGGCAAGCACTCTACCACTAAGCCACATTCCCAGCTGTCCTATACAATTTAGCAGCAGACAATGATCAACTATTCCCTAATTTCTTGTTAGTCTCTCTCTAAAACTAGACTGCAAAGTGTTTTGTAAAAATAACTAACAAGCCGGGCACCGGTGGCTCACACCTGTAGTCCTAGCTACTTAGGAGGCTGAGATCTGAGGATCACAGTTCAAAGCCAGCCAGGGCAGGAAAGTCTGTGAGACTCTAAACCAGCCAGGGCAGGAAAGTCTGTGAAACGCTTATCTCTAATAAACTACCAGAAAACCAGAAGTGGCACTGTGGCTCAAGTGGTAGGGCACTCGCCTTGAGCTGAAGAGCTCAGGGAGAGCATTCAGGCCCAGACTTCAAGCCCCATAACCAAACCAAACCAAAACAAAACCCTAACATAATTTATATTCTTTAATACCTAGAATAATATCAAAATACATTAAAAGGTTCTCAAATCAAACATGGCCCAATATAGAAAAAAAAAGCCTCTTCATTAGGATAGGTACAGAAGGACACAGATAGAAGAGAAGCAAAATAAGTTAAGAGTAAGCACATCACAGAAAGATTTTTAGGTAAATTATTTACTAATTTTTTCACTGCAAGTATAACTTTGACTAATCTAGTTACATTACTTTAGAATGAGTAGTCAAAGTCCAAAGTTTCATTTTTACAATTCAAAGTAGAAATTTTAAAAGGAACTTTCTGGGAAGTGGTGCTGTGGCTCAAAGTGGTAGAATACTAGCCTTGAGCAAAAAGGAGTTCGGAGAGTGTCCTGACCCTGAGTTCAAGCTTTATGACCTACCAAAAAAAGAAGAAAAAAAAAGGAAAGAAAGAAAAAGAAAAGCAGAGAAGAAAAGAAAGTCAACTTTCTGGCTTCCATCTTTTCAATTTGCTAGGGGAAGGATTAAAGTAAAACCCTGTTGTGGATTCTTATAACTGTATGCTACTTAAGCATCCACTTTTAAACGGAGGCTTAACTTTGCCAAATCACAAGCAGAACTTAGTCACCCTTGATATAAGTTCCAGTTCCTCCATATAGCAGTTCACCCTGGTGATACCTCCCTAAGTACCAGCTACCTATAGGCTACTGGATTAGCTTTTTGACTCTCATATCCTACATGGACTGAATAGATTTAAATTGACCTCCAGAAACTTGTGTTTAAACACACCAAATAAATAATTCTCGGAAGGATATTTGTTTGGATCATGACTTGAACACAGTAAGGTTTTTGGCCATACCTGCCTGCCTGTCTTCTCTTTTCCTGCTTCTTCTCTTTTTCCTCCTGCCTCCATCTCTATCCCTCCCTCCCTGAGCTATCTGACCTTTCTCTGTATGTCCCAATGGCCTGAAACAAAAACAAATTAATCTTGTAGACATCATCACTAATGAAGGAGTGCTGCAATGTTCTTTACCCTAAATACAACAAAACCCATATAATTGAAAAGTAAGCTAATAATAACTTCCAAAAATATTCTCCTAGTAGTAATCATTAATTGCAATAATTTGCCTTACTTATATTCACAGTTAAATGGTCATGAGAATGTCAAACTGAAGTTTAAAAACATGTATTTCTATGCAATGTGTGTAGTAAGATATTTGCTTGCAGAAAAATACAAACTGAAAGTGAAGGATATTTTCACATGTAAAAAGGGAAATATGGCACTCAATCCTGATGAAATTGTTTAACTTATTTTTTTGTCGGTCATAGGACTTGAACTCTGGGCTTTGGCGATGTTCCTGTGCTCTTCAGCTCAAGACGAGTACTCTACCACTTGAGTCACAGCACCACTTCCAGTTTTCTAGTGGTTTATTGGAGATAAGAGTCTCATGGATTTTCCTGCCCGGGCTGGCTTTGAACCGTGATCCTCAGATCTCAGCTTCCTGAGTAGCTAGGATTACAGGCGTGAGCCACTGGTGCCCGGCTTGTTTAACATTTTTAAATTCTTTCGTAGAAAAATTTTGGCTAATGTAAGAGACATATTCATTGTCCACAAAGTCGATTACTGAAGCTATGTTAAAATGTATACATCTATATGTTTAATACAGAATTATTAAGTAGTAAAAGTAGAAGATAAATTTGTAGTTATTTTCCTGGTCACTAAAATTATAGGAAAAAATGTTAACTAAAGTTTTTTTTAAAGATATGTGGTTATCTCTGTTCATCACCTTTACAATAACATTCTACATGGATTGAAAAAGATACATGATTGCAATGCTTGAAAAACATGTTTTCTTATAAGACGGTAACAGTAAAATATCTTATTTTTTTAATAACTACTCCAATGAATTCAAATATTTTTACAATGCACATTGTTCACTTATTTTCTATTTCTTTTTAAATCATTTTTTATGACAGTAATAGATTTTGAACTCAGGTCTTGTGGTCCTGCTTGGCTTTTTCACTCAAAGCTGGTGCTCTACCACTCGAGCCACATCTCCACTTCCAGCTTTTTACTGGTTAATTAAACATGAGTCTCTCAGATGTATCTGCCCAAGCTGGCTTTGAACCTAGATCCTCAGATCTCACCCCTCTAAATAGCGAGGATGACAGGCATGAGACCTAGCATCAAGCTCACTTATTTTCTTTCACACAGTAAAGTAACGATCCTCATGTTGTAGTACACACCTGCAATCCCAATACAAGTATAAATACATATATATTATATATACAAACACATACATATATCTATATATGTGTACGTATATGAATGTGTATATGTGTGTACATATATGTATTACTGAATTAAACATATAGTAAAAGTAACTCAATCAACTCATTATGGCTGGGAAGTGGCATGACCATTGTCCCAGCACTTGGGAAGCTGAAGTAAGCAAAAGGATTACTTGAGCCCAGGTACCTGACACCAATGTAAGCAATAAAAGGAAATCCCATGTCAAAAAAAAATTCTCCTATCTGATAAGTTCTACCTTCATTTCCTATCACCCTACCACAACCTAGAATTTGATTAATAAACATTGTGATTTCCTATTTATGACAGATTTTTTTTTTTTAAACAACACAATTTTCCTTTTAGGAAGTGGCAATTTCTTTTAGTGCTCATCAAGCATCATATGTTCAAAATGATGCTGTAAAATAACCTATGGTCATTTATATCTGAGATGTCATACCCCAAATTATGACATCTTTGAATTTCTTTTAATGCCTGCTGAAACAGCCACATTTATAACAGAAGCAAATGAGAGACTTGTATTTCATTTTTATAACCCAAGAGGTCCAGCAATTGAATTATTGAATGGAAAGAGGAAGCATGGAAATACTTTACAAATAGATAGCAGTGAGCATTTGTTACTCTAAATTTCTGTGAGGGCAGGAGGAAATGAGATCTTTTAGATGTCAAAAGCACAAGGACTACAAAACAGTTCTGGCAACATTCACCCATGTATATAGTACAAATAATAGTAAATAGTGAGTGTAGAAGATAGTTAATTTAATATGTGAATAAATGTGATCGAAAATTGTAAAATTTGTAACAGCTACTTGCTTAGACTCCTTGGCCCTTTCCATTAGATTATAGAAAACATGAATACATGCTGTTTTTAGCTGGACACCTTAGCGTGACCACATGTGTCAGGTGGAGAAAGGCCTTGTACTGGCGCCCTGTTCATGATAGCTTACCCACAGCATTGTAGAGAGGTTCTCCAGTTAATTTGTCCCAGACTACGGTGGTTTCCCTCTGGTTGCTAACACCAATAGCTTTAAAGAGAAAATTAAACACAAGAAAGTAGAAAATTAAAACAAGCAGAAAACTACTTCAAGGGAATAGGTCATTTAAACACCAATTTTGGAGGGAAATACAAAAGCATTTGTAGTTTATTTTCTTGGAGCATCCCTGAGAGAAGTGAACACATGATATCAGATTTGTTTTTACTTCTACATACTCCTCCCACTTCACCACCAGCACACAATGATATGAAACCAGATTAATATCTAAAGGAAAAGCTCCAAGGTTGCCTTAAGGAATACAATAACTTTCCAAGTTCACAATATTCAATTTATTATTGTGAGCAGACCAACAATCACCTTATTCATTTGTTTACCAATTGCTACAAGAAATTTTCCTTCCTATGGCTGTGCATATGTTCATACAAAGATATGCTCTACATTTTACAAAACTAACCATAGAAAAAAAAACTTACATGCTGAGCAACCTCCTGGTTATTTGCAAATTAAGTTTTACTCCTGCGTGTGTGTGTGTGTGTGTGTGTGTGTGTGTGTGTGTGTGTGTGTGTGTGTGTGTGTGTGTGTGTGTATGCTGGTCCTGAGACTTGAACTCGGTGACTGGGTGATGTCCCTAAGTGTTTTTGTTCAACGTTAGTAGTCTACCACTTGAGCCTTAGTTCCACTTACAGCTTCTTGGTGGTTAATTGGAGATAAAACGTCTCATGGACTTTCCTGCCCAGGCTGGCTTTGAACCATGATCCTCAGATCTCAGCATCCTGAGTAGCAAGGGTTACAGGCATGAGCCACTGGCACCCAGCTTATTCCTATATTTTAATATGTCACAATACATGAAAGTTTAAATCAGGCATAAATACAGTATGTCATGGGCCTTTACATTATACCAATCTACATGTAACTCAGGGACTATAATGTTATAATGAGTAAAAATATTGATCGGTACCATATTTTTCAGATCAGCAGGGATCTGCTAAGTCAAGATTCTCAAACGTTCTAAAATACCAATGCCCAAACCCTGAAACATTTCAAATTAGCTGACATGGGGTGGGATCAGAACACCAGTACTGGTTCTTCAAACTCCCTAGGTGATGCTAGTGTACATCCATCCCACGTGAGCCACAGCACCACTTGGCTGGCTGTGAACCTCGATCCCCAAATCTCAGCCTCCAGAGTAGCTAAGATTATAGGACTGAGTGACCGGCACCCAGCTAATCAACACTTTTGATGCTCAAATCTCCTTGAGAATCTGGGCATGAGGATCTTGATTTCAAGACAAGCATGGTCTACATAGTGAGACCCTGACTTCAACAGTCCAAACTAAATCTCCTTGAGAATTCTGTCAAATGACCACCAAGACAATACTTCCAGTTTCTCAAAGCAGATCTCTACTGGGACAGAAGAAGGAAGAAGAGGAAGAAGATGTGTAGAGGAGGAAGAGAAGGAGATGGAGGGAGGAAGGATTAGGTGGAGGAGAATGAAGCAGCCAGGAGTAGTTTAGGAGTCTAGGACCTGGAGGACCCCAATTTGAAGCTAACCAGAAAAATCTCTGAGATTCTCTCTCTAAAAATAATCAGCAAAAAGCAGGGCTAGAGTCATGGTTTAAGTTGTAGAATGACAGTAGAGTACGCAAGCAATTACTAGGCTTTGGGCCAAAAAGCACTACAGCCAAAGACAAATCCTAGGGCTAGGTTATATAACTCAATGGTACAGCAATTGTCTAGCATATGTGATGACTTGAATTTGATGATCCCTAGGTCCTCAAAAATCCTTTTCTTTATAGCTACCACCTATACTTCACAGTCATTTTTTTGGAAATACAAAAATAAGGTTAATCCTCCTTTTACATTTCAGTACCTAAACTTGAAGACTTGTCCTTCAAGTTTTTCAATTTTGTTCAACTGCTTCTGTTTCAATATGGTATAGCATAAAGTCCCTTCAACAATTCTAAGAATATACAATGACCTGTCCACACATGTAAACTCTTCCCTCAGAATGGAAGCTCTGGTTTCAATTCCTCAGTACCACATAAACAGAAAAGCCAGAAGTGGAGCTGTGGCTAAAGTGGAAGAATGCTAGCCTTGAGCAGAAGCAGCTCAGGGATGTTGCCCAGGCCTTGAGTTCAAACCCCAGGCCTGGCAAAAAAAAAAAAAAAAAAAAAGAATGGAACAATACTATGGCAATGCTCTGACTGGCGCAGAACAAAGGGACCTATCAGATCTCCCTTGCTCCGTTACTACTTATGCAATGCAGATATATATATATATATGTATATATATAATTTAACACTTTTCAGTGAAAAGGTGTTCCAAAACAATTGAAATACTGCTCCCAAGAAGTTCAGGGGAATAAAGTGCTGTAAATTAACTTAGAGAAATAGGGTAAATGGAAGGGATTCTTGGTTATTTGTAATGACGAACACCAAAAAAAAAAAAAAAAGGTTGGAAAAAGAAATAAAGATAAGATAGGTGAGGTGAGGGTGGACTTAATGAGACATGGTCCTGATATATAATGACAGAAGTAGATTGCTTCCCTTCTGGTGAGGGAAAAAGTGGGAGGAAATCCACACAGTAAGTACAGAGATTGGAAATGGAAAAATTAGAGGCCCTGAGCATCCACTTTCTCTGTAAAGTCATAGGTGACATTATATGCTCAAACAGATAGGGCCGCAAAAAAGTAGAATTGAAATCTAGGTGGTACAAAGCTGTAATGATAGCACTCAGGAAAATTTAAGTTTGAGGCCAATTTGGCCTACATAACAAGCTACAGGCCATTCTGTTTATAACAAGATTGTCACAGAAAGTGTATAATAATAATAATGGGAACGATTCTGTATGGCTGATGCTACAAAGCCTAAATAGCTGAGGTCCAAATTACAATTCTGGGTCTCCTCTTTAATAGTTTCTTCTCTTATAAAATGAAGAGAATGAAAAGTTCTCACTTGAACTGGGAATGTGGCTTAGTGATAGAGTGCTTGCCAGCATGCATGAAGCTCTGGGTTCAATTCCTCAGTACCACATACACAGAAAAAACCAGAAGTGGCACTGTGGCTCAAGTGGTACGGTGCTAGCCCTAAGCCAAACAAACTTAGGAACATGCCTAGGCCCTGAATTCAAGCCCCAGGACTGGCAAAAAAGAGTTCTCACTTTACAAAAAAAAGTAGGGGAGATGGGAAGGGATGGGAAGGGATGGAAATGGATGGGAAGGGGAAACAAAGGAGGAGGCAACAATGCTTGATAAGAAATATACTCATTATCTTGCCCATGTAATTGTAACCCCTCTGTATGGTATTTTCACAATGAAAAAAATGTAAATATGCAAAAAAGTATAACTTTTTGAGAGGCACCAGAGGCTCTTGCCTATAAACCTAGTTGCTCAGGAGGCTGAGACCTGAAGATTGTGGTTCAGAGCTAGCCTGAGCAGGAAAGTCTTTGAGACTCTTTTTCCCAATTAAATAGCTGGAAGTAGAGCTGTGGCTCAAGTGGTAGAATGCTAGCCATTAGAAAAAAGAAATTCAGGGAAAGCACCTAGGCCCTGAGTTCAAGCCCCAGGACTGGCAGAAAAAAGGTATCACCTTTGTTAGCTGGGTGTCAGTGGCTCATGCCTGTAATCCTTGCTATTTGGGAATCTGAGACCAAAGCAGCCCAGGCAGAAAAGTCAGTGAGAATCCATGTCTAATGAATCAGCAAAATGCTGGAGGACTACTTCTTTTTTATGCCAGCATGACCAAGAAAGTAGAACATGAGAGCCTGAGTTCAAGCTACATTAACAGCACAAAAACAAAAAACTAAAGTTCCCACCCTTACAATGATGAGCCAATATATATCATATGCATCAAAAATGCTACTTATTGCTGATGACATTGTCATTATTACTGAGGAGAGTGGAGTAATAGTTGCAGAGAATGAGACTGAGCTAAGCAGAACACAAAGGAATTCTCCAGAAGCTCTACAAGTATAAGAGCAGGACCTGGGCAATGGGTTGCTACAGTATAGTATTATGAAAATGATACTTTTCTTAGTAACAACTTTACAATGTGAAAACATAATGAATTCATGATCAATTAAACTCTCCTCTTTTCACTAGTTTTCCAGCAAATCAGTTAGCTGCTTTCTTACCTATAATCCTTGAATTAAATGCCTGTCATGCTACTTCTCTTTATTGGCTCCTTCTGGCTTGTATCCAGACTCTAATCTACAGTTACTTTCATCTGATCCTTTGGCCATTGGTTGTTCCCTGACCACTCCTTCTTTCTCCTCTATTTTAATTCCATTCCTTCATGTCAAGTGAAATTGCTTTTTTTGCAGACAATCAAAGTCCATTAAAGTAGCTTCTCAGGATTTTCTTCCAATAACAAACACATTTTAGTACCTTCAGCACATCCAAGATTTATGCAATGCCTCTGAGCTTTTCCAATGTTCTAACCTCTTGTCATTGCACCCTAAAATCCTGTATGCCTTTAAAGCAAACCTGTTAATTACAGTACATGTGCCTTTCATGACTCTTAATTATTTATTTATTTTTTTGTCAGTCGTGGGGCCTGAAGTCTGGGCCTGGACACTGTCCCTCAGCTCTTCAGCTCAAGACTAGTGCTCTACCACTTGAGCCACAGTGTCACTTCCAGCTTTCTCTGCTTATGTGGTGCTGAGGAATCGAACTCAGGGCCTCATGCATGCAAGGCAAGCACTCTTACCCCTGAGCCACCTTCCCAGCCCTTGACTCTTAATTTTAATCCCTTTCTAAAATTAACATTCACTCTAGGCATCCACACAGAATGAGACCAAAGGAGGCTATTCTTAGGGAAAAACACAAAGGCACAATGCCTATGAGCCTCTGATCATATAAAACATTTATCAAAACAAACCCCAGAAAATGGAAACAAGAGGTGTTTTCTTTATTCTTGTTCTTGTTTTACTTTCTGCCTTATTTGTTCATTTATTTATCTATCTCTGAGAGGGTCAAGGGGGCACAGCAATGGAGGGACAAAGGGTGAACAAATGCAGCTGTGGTACTCACTA